TACTTAACTACAACAAATATCACATACTTTAAGACTTTTACTCAAGTTATATTCCTAAAGGAGACTTTAACTTTTACCAAAGTAAGTTTTTGGTAAGATACTTGTACTTTTACTCGAGTATCACTGTGTGGTACTTTATACAACACTGTTGACACCTGATGGTAATTTGCTCTTGACAAATGAAGATTTGAATTTACCTTACAGGTGTGTCTTTTGAGACCACTCGTCCCCGACTCTCTGCTGTACTTGACTGAAACTTAGCACGTCTGACAAGCAGCATACAGCGTGTTAACACCGTCACACAACTCTCACAAACTTCTGTCATATTTGCGACTTTCCTGCCAATTCTGTGAGCTTAATAGAAAGATCGTTACTTCTGACTTCGCGTTGCAAATCCACTGTAACCACATGGGTTTCTCCGCTCGGCATAGTATAATATGCTAACAGGGTTGAGCCACAACAGTAGAAGAAAAACGTCACAATTTTCGCATTTTCACCCAGATAAAAGGCCAAAACAACAAACGATATAGGCCTTCATGCTCTTTTAAACGCTTAAAAACTAACCAAACACAGTCGAAGCTGAAAAGTTATCTTAGCTAACTGTTTAGCTAAATTACCCGCCCTCCTTTTCTGCTGCTCTTTGAAAGCAGCGGCCGGATGTACCGTTGCCTTCTGGGTCGTGTAGTTCTTTTAACTTGCGTTACAGCGCAAGCTGGTGGAAAGAGAACTACAAAATGGCGACGCCTGTTCTATGTTTTTTTTTTCTGTCCTGCTCCCGTTAACTTTTCATCCAAAAACCGTCCCAATCTAATAATAATAATAATAATTAAAAAAACTACTTGTGAATATTCTAGTGCCGATTACTAAAATTTAGAACCAGTTTTAGGATGCTTGTGTAATGCCTGAATATAATGTAACCGTAAATATCAATTTTAAAATATAAACTTTAAGTAATAAATGTGTCTTTGTAATTATAGTATTGTACTCACAAATTGTTAATGTTTGGTATCTACACATACCTGAAATAAATGTAGCAGTGATTTGGGAAAAAATAAATAAAAACGTCCCAATCACGTAGATTCCCATTCCACAGTGAGGAATCCGCGAGAGTCACGTGACCCGTCGACAAGATGCCAGAGCCTCTACTGTAAACACAGCCTGGTGGTGAGGACCCACTGTTCCGTTCCCGTTGGGGAAAATACTATTGGTGTAGTCAGAGTTAGGCCGGTAGATGAATGGAAGTCAAAGCGAAGTCCCCATGAGAATATAAGAACAAACACGTGTGTGTATGTGTGTGTGTGTGTGTGTGTGTGTGTGTGTGTGTGTGTGTGTG